CCTTTTACCAGCTACTCCAGGAAGACAAAGAAAATTTATTGATCTTATCATTTGACTGCCACCAGAACCAACCTTTTCCAAAGATTTCCGACCAGGCGGCATACTATAGTCGGCAAGTCTTCTTGTGTCTACCCTCTACTCTACAAATTACGACCTCACAAATTTTAATAAAATAAGGTTAATATCGGACGGTTGTTCAGGTCAAAATAAAAATCCAAAGTTCGTCTGAAAACATCACATAGCTAAAAATTGTTTTCCCACTAACTGGCCATAGCTTGATTCTACCAAATCGGTTCTTCAGTCTAAGCGAGAAAGAAATTAAAAAGATGGAGATAATTCTGCGTTCTGAAGAGTATCAAGAAATATTTTCCCATCATGTATCTGTAGAGAGAGATCTAAAGAGACTGTCTAAACCTTGACTAGAAAACGGCCAAAGACAAAGTACTCAAGCACAAACCATCGAAACGAATTATAATACAAAGAAAAAATCCGACTCAAGCAGGGTCACCTTAACCAGAGGGCTAAAAGGGCTATAGCCCTAGAGTTCTGTAGGGACGTCTTAATTTTTTAATTTTTATTAGTAGTTTTTATTTTGTAAGCTTGAACTTTGTCGTGGCGCCACGACACGACGCGCCGTGTCGGCGATGCACTGATGTTACGTTATTACATGCCACATTTGGCATCTTATCTGGACAAACACTCAATTATTTACTTATAGGGTGATAATGTTTATTATAGTTTTAAATATTAAATTATCGCTTTGTTTTAACTTTTATCGATTTTAAATAGTCAGCGCTAACATAATAAAAATAATTTTTTATATCGTGTAACAAGACTAATCATGGAACCCAAGCGAAAAAAAATATCTGGATGCGCCAAACGGAAATAGAAAAAGCAGAAGGAAGCAAGGCAAATAGCTGTCTTTAGACAAAGTATCTACAATAACACATTTCTTTAAAAAAATTATGTCCAATGATGATAATGACCAACAGTCAAATGAGAATGAAATAGAAGCAACTGAAATACAACAAAAAGAAGATCAGGACAGAAGATCAGGAAAGGAAATATTTAGATGCAGATGGAGTTAACATCTTAAGTGGAAGAAAAGAAGTATTCTATTATTGTAGATTCGACGCTCGACGTTTCTCATGTTGATCAATTAACCATTGTTGTCAGATATGTCAATAAAAGTGGAAGCCCCGATAATTTTAGAAAATACTGGTCACAAAACCTCAAATATGGAGAATTCTATCTTAAATCTATTATCTGATTTAGATATTAATTTGAAAGATTGTAGAGGACAATCTTCTGAATCTGGTATATACAACGACCTCCAAGCACGCATTAAATCCAAGAACAATCTTGCCATTTACGTACCTTGTGCAGAACATTCTTTAAATTTAGTTGAAAAATCGGCAGCGGGATGCTGCCTATAAACAACTAAATTATTTTTATTTCTTCAAAATTTATACAATTTCTTTGCCACGTCAACAATGTCAACATCCAGATGAGAAATTTTGAAAGATACGCTCTATTCCACTAAATTAGATCCTAAAAAATTGATCAGCACTCGTTGGTCAGCAAGAACTGATTCCGTGAAGGCAGTTGTTTCCGGTTATACAAATTTTAAAAATGCTTTGAACAAAATTTCCGAAGACAATTTTCAAAAGTTGAATTCAACTTACTGAATAATTATTTAATTGTAATATGGTAGTATTTTGGAGTGAGATGTTAGATATCATAGATAAAATTAATACATCACTTTTTGTTCCTTTTTTTTTTAATTAGATGTAATTAAATGTAATACATGGTTTGTTTTTGTTCATTATGTTGACTTTGTTTAGTGCAATGAAAATATATTGACTTCTTGAAAATTCATGTTCTGAAGGTTGAACCTGAATTTTGTGCCGAATATCTTAGGACGGCTCTGCACTCAACGTCTTATTAGGGTAGAAGTGTTTTATAAGTCATTCACCTGTGGGTGGCAAAACATCTGCAAAAAGGAAAAAATCTTACACTCTGGAAATGACTGGAGAGAAAACAACCTAAATCTTGATTTCTACAAACACGTCCTAGATAAAGCTGAAGATTTCAATGAGGTCGAACTTGATGATAATGATAATTTTTGTGAGCCTCAAGAGGATATTCCTGAACCGCACGTTTAAGTTGCGGTGCTGTTGATATTTTTGTTAAAATAAAAAAATGTTTTCTTCTATTGTTGTCATTCTTCCGCGATAAAAGTCACATTCTCCAAATTTGTTTGGTGCAAAACTCACATTCTCTCAACTCTCAATTACAATATCATGAATTTGGTAGTCTTCAACTAAGTTTTCAGTTTATTTTATAATAGATGTGTTTAAAAAATATACAGTGGGTGTTTCTGTAAGTCGTGGCATAATTTTAATCACAAATACTAGAGTCACAATGATGACGATTCACGTAAACATTTTTGGTCTAAACCCATAAATGGCTAAGATATGGGCCATCTAAGTTAAGAAATTTTTAAACATTTTCTTAAATATTTTCAATATGGTTTGTCTTAGAAAGATAAAATTTGGCAAACAGTACAATGTTATCATGAGAAATCTTTAAGATCAGAAAATATGTGATCAATGCTATACAGGGTGTTCACAAAAGTTATTTCCTTAAAACTGTTAAAATTGATGCTAAAAGTCTATTTAATTTTGAAATTATTTTTACTCTTACAATTTTTTGATAAGACGCATCTTTTTCGAGTTAATCATAAAAAGATTTAAGTTCGTTTAAAAGAAATCTGTCAAATTATTACTCAATGTAGTATGAAATCTGGATATTCTTCAGTACAATATTATTCTTCAGCGTTTCTCAAATTAATGGTTATCTGTTAAAAGTACTTTTTTCTAAAAACGCAGCTTTCCATCATGGTATAGCAACACTGTATTTGCAACGGATGATCAGCAATTTTAAATTCTTGTACTCTCGACAAATGTATGAATACAATTTAGATATTCTGAAATATCTAAACTGCTGCTATCAACAGTACTAGCAGTACCAGGATTTGCCACAAAATCCAAAATGTTTTATTCTACTTGGGGTGTACGTGGGTAGTCCATCCTCATAGAACTGCATAACATTTTCTACAAAATCAACAATTGCACCAACAGTGCTTTTTTCTTTTCTGAAACCAAACTGCGTCGGAGTAAACAATTTATTACTTGAGAGCCTTGAGAGAAATTGGCTTAAGAGAAATTGGTCTAAAATTTTCAATCTTATCATGGTCACCCTTTTTATACACAGTTACCACAAGAGCTATTTTTAACGAATCAGGAAAAACCCCTTCCATTAGTAGTTTATTTAGTAATTTGCATAGTGGAAATATAATTAAGTTTTTGATTTGCTTTATTAAGTTAACATTAAAACCGTATACAGGTGTCCCGCAACGATTGTACAATACTGCATCAGCGTATTCTCTGATCGAAAACAGACAAGAAAAGTCTAATAAACATAGGTCCGAAAATGGACCAATTTCGAGATATTCAAAGTTTTAGTTTCATAAGCTGACCTATTGTAAACATCATTAATTCTAACGATTTAGATGCAGTAATTATATGATTACCATGGTTACGATGGTTAAGATAAAGTTTAATAAATAATNTGTTCCTGAAGTAATTCTAAACAAATATTGTTAATAAAAATTTTTGATTTGATCAATAATTAAGAACATAATCTCAAAAAAAAATTTTTTTATATGTTTTTTTTATTGAGAAAATCGTTTTAGAATTTAATTTAGAACAACTTTTGTATGAAATTTTCTGCTGAGAACGAGTGGAGGGGGGAAATCGTATCGTTTTGTTACAAAAGTTCCGTGCCCTACTGATCATTACAGTAGTTAATACATTCAAATTTGCACGAATTTCTTTTAATTCTGTATTTAACCATCCCTGCGATAGATGTGCATGCCTCTCAGGAAAAAGTCTATTATAAGCATCCATCACTCTCTCCAAAAACATATAGAATTTTTCAGTGGCTTGCAATTGTGCATCCGAAACAAAACTCCAATCAACATTAGAAACACTCTCAAAAAACTTAACTTCACCATTTTGGATAATTGGCCTGATTGTCACAAAAGTATCGTCAAGCAAAGGTTCATCAAAAGCATACGTCAACGTTAAGCTCTTGTTGTCTGAAAATTGATTGCTTACCATTACATTAACATTTGTATTCCCAAAATGCACGAAAATGTTATCCAAGCAATTTTTACCACGAGTAGCAGCATACACCATCTGCTCGAAACCGAAAGTTCTTAAGCAATCGAGCAGCACATCTGTCATCAGTGGAATAAGAAGTGCAACAAGCTACACATTTTTTGTGATTTCCCAAAAACTGCTTATGAAGGATAATGTAAGTTTTCACACCTCACATAGGGGCATGAAATTTGGCATAAATTTTATTTAAACTTCTAATAACTTCTTTCTGACAATTTCTAATGATATTAGAAATTATACAATTCTTTGATGTAGCGATATTTAATGGTATTATTAATTTTGTAAACAAAATATTTTTAAATTAATTAATAACTATTACTGTATAACTTTTTTTTAATTAGGAATATTGCGTTGTTTACATAAAAAAATCACAGTAATGATCTAAAAATAATCGTGTAACGTAACGAGGCGGACAGCATAAACACAATTTGCAAACGGGTAAAGCTCAGTCTACGTAACCAGAACCTAATTATAGCGTTTTTGGCGATCGCAAGACATTTTTTTTCATCGTTTTATGATCATTTTATATCTTTGGCATCGGTTTGAGTTGCGTTTTTCGTCAGTTGCCGCGAATCAAACATTGTATACGGTTCGGTTAATTGAATGAAAAAATAAAATGCCCGATTACAACGATTACGTCGAAGAGCCGATCGGTAAAAAACGAAAATGCAAAGTTTACGCAAGGACTTTTACAAATACCGAGTTCGTTCGTGGATTAACCTTAAATTTGTTAATCGGTGAGTAAGAAATTTGATGTTTAATATTTCAATAAATATTTTATTTTTTATACGGACATTTATAAATACAAAAAAAAGGAAATTATTTCCTATTTACCAAAGACCTTTAGAATAACCACCTGGAGGAATTCTACCATTACTCGTATTTGGAGTCGGTTTAATTTCACAATCGTACCCTTCACCTAATAAAGGATTACCTTCGCGTCTTCGCGGCAATCTCTTCACCTCTTCAACATCCATCCCAACTCCAGTTAACGGATTTCTTATAAACGGTAACGGTTTAGCACTACTTGGTCGCTTTTTTGGCATGTTATCAATTAATCCGGTTTGTTCCTTCGATTCAACGGGGTCAAGTAACCTTCGGGGACTACAAATTTGATCGCTGGGTGGATTTTCGGGGCATCCCATGCATCCAGCCGGAAAAACGGTACTTGAGTGATCACGCAGTTTATTTAATCTACGCTGAGTTGGTAAATGCTGACTGATTTGCGGTGGTCCAGACGATGATGATTGACGATTTTCTATGTTTTCTTCTTTTTTTGAAATATTCGTATCGCTGGAAAGTTTCCTTGATTGATCGTTAGTTAAACTTTGTTCGGAATCAAAGGTTTCTTTGCGTTCCATAACCGTTTCGGTCAAAGATTCTTCGGAGGCTTTTTTAGAACCATCATTTTGATCATTTTTATCTTTAGTTTCTTCCATGATTCTAATTCAAACAAATTAATGAAATTAGATTAACATTTTTGTTTTAATAAACAAATTAAAAGAAATTGATGATTTGTGGAACGATGTTAACAATAATTTCTATTGTTTCTTATGAAAACAGTTTCATTGATAAACAAAGTGACTCGTGTATTTCTTAGAAAATAATAATCGTTGTCTCGTTTTATGTGTGGTCCCTATTAAAACATTTTTAAAAATTAATTTTAGATTTTGTTGATGACTTTTACGAAGGTGTTCAATTTTGTTAATAAAATTAATTAATAACCACGGATGCTTACATTTCCTTAAAATCTCTTCAATATTAAAACGACCACTCACGATTGCTCACTAAATCAATTTCAGGCAAAAATAGATCTGACACTGCGTCTGCCAAACAATTGACACAACTTTACTTGATAATTAAAAAAATTTTTTTTGTTTATATTTTGTCAAAGCATTCTCAATGTATCTCTATTAATCTATCTAAAAATTAATTATTACAAAAAGATGTGGCTGAAGTTAGATTCATATTCGAATCTGTACCAGATTCAGATTCATAAAATTACAATTGACCAAACAAGTATTGAACATATCAATTGAAAAATCGTTTTCTAGCAATCTGCGACTACCCTGGATAATTTGAATAGACCCTCTTGTATGTTCCCTGTCTACCCTCACCCCCAGATTTACGTAGAGACAGAGTGGTGAATATTTGAATGCTCATCGATTTTAATAGCAAAGTTAAAAATTATCTTCTCAACAACTAACGACTGCAGCACCCTGGAACTAAGCTAGATTATTGCATTCAGTGTTGTTAAATACCCGGGTATTTATTTTCATGGGAAAATTGCCTGGGGTATTTACCCAAGATGGGTATTTAGAGGTATTTATAAAATTTGATTTAAATTGAGTTGATGGCAGTTTTGCAAGTACTTCAAGAATACAGAGTCCATTATCGATACACCAAACTTATTTATAACATTTACAAGAATGCTACAATGAGGGTAAAATTGCATGAAAGTACTGACCGAATACTCATTGGGCGTGGGGTAAGACAAGGCAATATTATGTTGAACCCAAATTGTTCATCACAGTCCTGGAGAGTGCATTTAAACAACTGGATTGGACCCAAAAAGGTATAAACATTGATGGCAATACCTAAGTAATTTGCGCTACGCGGACGATATAGTCCTTATTTCGGATAGTCTTGGAGAGATGAAACTGATGCTGAACGTATACAGGAGGCGTGTGCAAGAGTCGGGCTAAATATCAACAAAATTTAGGACAAATCTTGTTCCAAGCTCTAACATCAATATTGGTGATAATGAATACTTCTATCTTGAATACTTTCGATGGTATGTCATTAATCCCTGATGCCTTTCCATGTTTTGACGCAGTGATTGCGTTTTGAACCTCACTAATTGATATAGGTTCCATGACACTATCCTTTCTTTGGTGTGACGGACTGCTGTCTATTTCCAAATCAGTTTCTATGCTTAACAGGTTTTGGAAATAATTTTTCCAAATGTCATTCATTTCACTATCACATATTATTTTTCCTGTTCCATCTCAGCATAGAGCTACGTGCGATTTGTGCCTTTGTCTTAACTGTCTAACAAATTTATACACATTCCTGGTGTTATTAGCTTTAAGTGTACATATATTTCGGAAAAGTTTATATTTTCACTACCGACCATTCTCCTTTACGTAATACTCTTCGAAAATATTTAACGATTTCTTTAATGCTTGAAAAACAACTTTGAATGTCCTGAATTGAGTATCAGTCTAATATTAATGACTAAATTCAGTTTTTGTGCTTCATTAATTCTTGTTGTTTGATTCTTTTCTAGTCATATTGCACTTCCATCAAATCCAAGATTCCAAGATCCATGAGATTGTTGATTTCCAATTGAAAATTAAGTAGTTCGTTTAAGATCTTATTATTCTTCTTCTTTTATTCAGGTTGTAATCTGTTTACGCATCATTCATTGTGTTTCATTAGAGCTGGAAATCCAACTTCCTATTCTCCCGGGATCTCTTTCTAGCTAATCTTTGGTCTCTTTTGTCTTAATCAGCCAGGTTTCTTCCATTCCTTGGAAGTACTCATAAATTTTTTTTATTTTTCCCCTAGCAAATCTCATGACATATACGAATCCACAAAATTCTCTTACAATTTTGTTCCTAACTCCATCTTTTCTTGTCTCTTCCACTATTGTTCTTAAAGTACTCATCTCAGTTGGTTCGCATCGCAGCTATATATCTTGGCGATGAGGTTCGTGTATCGAGAGATAATAATCAAAGGCAGCCTACAGGAAACTTAGAGACATCTTCATGGGCGATATTCCTGTATATTTGAAAAGAAAGGCTTTCAATCAATGCGTGGTTCCTCCTTTGGTTATGACGTACGGTTCCGAAACTTTAACATTAACGGTGGCCATTACCAGGAGGCTCAAAGTAACGCAAAGAAAGATGGAGAGGTCGATACTGGGTGTAAACCTGAGGGACCACATACGAAATGAAGACCTACGAAGAAGAATGATGCGGTCAACATTGTGGCAAAGCTCAAGTGGAACTGGGCGGATCATCGTCGCAAGAATGTAGAATGAGCAGTGGTTACCTGATTATAATACGTCTTCGATCGTTGACAATTCCTCGTTTTCAACGCCTATTTCATCATGTTCCTCTACATTTTTGTCCGAATCTGTTATATTTTTACTTGTATCACTTTTGTATGTACTGTTTGGGTATTTACCCTAGGCCGGGGTAAATACCCAGATAAATACCCATTTTATAAATACCTACCCGCCGGGTATTTACCGGTTAATTTTAACAGTTAATTGTTATTAACTGTTAATAGTGTTTGACAGACATTTAATTTTCAAAATTATAATTATTCACAAACTTTATTAAAATGAACGACCAAAGTGGTGATTCCAACAATTTCATTCAATAAAACGTGTCCTCTATTAAATTACCACCTTTTTGGGTAAGTAAACCAGAACTCTGGTTCATTCAAATCGAGGCACAATTTACTATTTCAAGAATTCATTCTGACAAGACTAAATACAACCTTGTCATTTACAAATGTATTGAAATCATCTCAACTATTTATGACAATTATTTCTAATCCACCTGAACGCGAAATGTACAATTTCCTTAAAAATATTTTAATAACTAGACTCACAAAGCGAAGAAAAGGGGTTAGACGAATTATTGTTTGGAACAGAAATGGGTGACCAGAAACCATCCGATTTTTATAGGGAAATGTTAAACACTGCAGGCGGTTCTCAAATGGTTAGCCAAGACCTTTTATTAAAACTTCGGAAACGTAGGTTACCTCAAACCATTTCTGTTGCCTTATTAGCGTCCGGTAAAGACAATATCGGTGAATTACTTTCTATCGCCGATAAAATTTGGGAATCATTTAATTCTTCTCTTTCAAGACCTTATAAAATTTCGGAATTTTCTTCTTCAAACTCTAAAAATGATTCCGTTCAAAATACTAATTTTGATTTAATAAAAGCTTTTTCTGAAGACTGAAGATTGTAGAAGCCCATTCAAAGACAGATCAAGATCAAACTTTTCTAAAATTCTTCAAAAATTTGCTTTTATCATAGTAACTACAGTGATAAAGCGTTGAAGTGTTCAGCCTGGTGTATTTTTCACAATTCATTTAGAAAACAAAATTCAAAAAAACGAATAAAAGTTTCGACAGTGGGTAATTAATCACATATCATTGCACCAATTCACAAGAAGAGTTCTCGACTTTTTATCTTCGATCATCAAAACAAATTTCATTTTTTGATAGATACTGGTGCAGGCGTATCTGTTATTCCCCGCAATACGTTTTTGCATTACAAAAAAGATAAAGACTCTTTCCTTAAAGCAGCAAATGGTTCAATTATTGCTACGGTAAAAAAATGTTAACAATAAATTTGAATCGTCGAAGAAATTTTATTTTTACTGTTGCTGATATTTCAAGACCTATTATTGTTGCAGATTTTCTTAATAAATTCGGTATTTTGGTAGATATTAGAAACCACTGTTTAGTTGATTCAACAACTAAATTGACATCATCAGGTCCGCTTATTAACTCAATTGTTCCAAATCAAAAATTATTCATTGTCGAAACAAAATATACTCAGACGTTTAGATTCTAGTAAATATACAATAGCAAAAACAGAATTCGAGCAAATGGTTGCTTTTGGCATTTGTAGGCCATCTTCGTCTTCTGTTGCTTCTGCGCTTCACATGGTTCCAAAAAAAGATTGTGTTGATTGGAGACCATGCGGAGATTACCGTCAATTTTAAGTTACGGTGCCGGACAGATATCCGTTTCCACATATTCAAGATTTTAATTTACATTTGCACAACTGTAAAATCTTTTCTAAGGTACATCTTGTACCACGAAATACCAATTGCTAAGAAAGATGTTTACAAAACTGCGATTACTACTCCTTTTGGTTTATTTGAGTCTACTAGGATGCCTTTCGGTTTGAGAAATGCTGCTCAAACATTCCAACGTTTTATCAACGAAGTTACTTCAGGCTTAAACTGTATCTTTGTTTACTTAGATGATATGCTAAAAATGAAAACGATTATATCTCCCATTTAGACATACTTTTTAATAGGTTAAATGATTTTGGAATTTCAATTAAACTTTCTAAATGCATTCGTCCTTCAGATGACAGAATTAAAATTATTAAAGAATTTCCTACACCAAAAACACTTAAACAGTTACAAAGATTTTTGGGTATGATAAACTTTTATCATAGATTCGTTCCAAATTTTTCAAATACTTGCACCTTTATATCATATTTCGAATTTACTTTATAAAAGTGAAAGCAAAGTTATTGAAAATTGAAACTCTCTAAAACTCAATTAGCAAATTCAACAATTCTGGCTTATCCTTGTAAAACTGGTCAATTATCTTTATCTACTGACGCTTCCAATACGGTGATTGGAGCAGTATTATCCCAAAAAAAATAATTTTTCACAACCCTAAGCGATGGGTTGTGAAAAATTAATTTTTCAAAAAAACTATCGCCTTGTCAAGCAAAATACAGTCATTGACCGTTTTACAAGGTGGCCAGAAGTTTATCCTCTCAAAAATACGTCAAGTTCTACTGTTGCTACTGCTCTATTGACGCATTATTTTTCAAGGTTTGGTATACCACACACGATTACGCACGATCAGGGCAGACAATTTGAATCACAACTTTTTTTGCAGAATTTAATCGATTGTTTCCGATTCGATCACTTCCTGTTACCATCCTCAAAGTAATGGCACCTTGGAGATTTTTCACAGAACTCTGAAAACTGCCATTATTGCTAGAGGTAAAACTAATAGGTGGAAACAAGATCTTCCTATAATATTATTAGGTCTAAGGTCTT